TCAAATCCGACGCGAAAAACGGACAACGATATCAGTTGAAGCGAATCGTGACGGCGCTGACCATTGAATTCTTGTCCTCTTAATTCAAATAGAATTGAATAAAAGTTACTTCACACCTCTCCAGAGTATTGAAAGCCGTTTAATTTGTGTTCAGATCCTGTCCAGGCTGTACAACCAAAGGGAAAATGGAATTGTTCCAGCTTATATTGATTGCTTCCTCAGGGACCCCCAGCAAGAAAAGCTGTTCCCAAGTGAACCTTTAATGTTGGGACATGGCCATTGTTAACTAGTTGAGCTCCAATTATCCCGGCATCTGCATAAAATCCCCTCAGGAATGAATGATGCCGATAATGTTGTATCAATGGTATCAATGTTGATAGGATCAAATCCCCTCAGGAATGAATGATGCCGATAATGTTGTATCATTGGTATCAATGTTGATAGGAGACTGGGTACTCTCGCTGCAGTGTCTTGAGACTTGGCCCCAGTCTTTTGGACCGTAAACTGATGACTCTGAAAACATTAATATAATTCATAGGTTCTCTTTATGGCATTCAAAGACAGTGCTCCACATCGACACAGCAACGATTTGTACAAGGACGGTAGCCGCAGCGTCAGCAATAATTTTTAAGTTCTCTTGCATGGTTTTAAACTGCCGAAAGATGATGAGATATAGATTGATTAATGTTGGTGCAGAAATTATAATTTTTCCCAAAGGTTGTCATGTAAAATGCTGAAAAAGAAGGGAGGAAATCAGAAACCTATTGATTCTCGTATGCACTAACAGCACTCAAAGTTGAATATGAATATAATGCATGTCACACCCTTGGCAGTCACGTGTACATGTATCATTCAAAGCAACATATGCACTCCTACCAGTTTCTCCATATTTCCATTTTGATCCTGCAAATAGGAGGTATTTTAATTCTTAGTTGTTTTTTTCCTGTTTTTTGCTTTTTCCTTACTACGATACCAGTGGCTTCTATTTCGGACTACAACCTGACAATATGTGTGTGAGAGACGCGAACGGTATAATGTTACCCATTGCTAAAAGCAATGTTTTGATAAGCTGCACATTTCATGTTTAATTTTGAAATATGATAGCTGCTAAAATTGAAGAATAAAAAGCCATGTCATACATGTCTCTTAAATGTCTCTTCACTACAGAACGCTTGTTACCTCTTAAGACACCTCTTAACGAGGTGTATGTTCGAAGATTTAACAGTGACACGCTTTAGTAAACAAAATGTCTCATAATCAAACTAATGAAGGGGCCCAAGGTTAGAAAGATACGAAATTGTGTTCTAGACTGGGGATCTGACAATAAGGTTGCGCGCGACCTGGAACTGAGCCTACGAAACGGTTTTCGACAAGTGACAAATTATCTCTTTTTAACACGGTTGTTAGTAATAAAATCACAGGATTTAATGAAATAAGTTTTGAATGATGTAACGCTATAATGATTGATAAAATAAGTAAAATGGAGCTGGCTACTAAAAAGAGAGGGAGTATACTCCCTCAGGATCTCTATCTATGGGATCGTCAAGGAGAATATTTCATTCTTTGCAGCCACACGAGACTATATTTTCTGTCATTTTCCGCGGACAAGATCCCTTCAAGTGTGTCAGAAAGTCTCCCAAGACAAAATACCATAGTATCAGGTGAAGGCTGTTTCGTAATTTATATCTTTCGGAATCGTTATCAAGCGTTACCTCCTTCTAAAAACCTTTCAATATTCCTTAATACATCTCTTTACTGAAAATATCATTGATTACTTACGATATCTTATAAAGTTAAGAAGTTGGACAATTTTGAAATTTAAAACGACGAGCTTTCTTGTCTTTATAGCCCACCAAATTTCTTATGGTACGGAGCTACACCGCTCGCGTTTCGCTTTGCTTTATTTGGAAATCATAACTTATTCCCACCTTGGCAAGCGTTACAGCTCAAACGGCATTTCTTCTGTATTTCTAGCCTGCGAACAGGCTCCCGTCTTGGAGGAGCACAACGGCGCGAAGCAGGGGAAGGGCAGAGGTGGAAAGGGCCGTTTTAATCTTCCTCTTCTGAAAGCAAACTTCCACATCCGGCCGAAACCATCTTCTTATCTTTCCCTTGCGCAATAGTGTCCCCCAAATCTTTAAGGGTTTTTTGTTTTTGCATGCGTGGTATGTCTATTATTTAAGCTTAGAATGGCCAATCGTACTGAACAGAGCGGTATAAGCTTCATCGCTCACCCGCATTCAGAGCCTCTCGCAAATTTTATATTAAAAAGCATTATGTCATTTTAGCAAGATCGTAACCCCTTTGGTGCAATATCAAAAATTAAACACTTAAATAGAATTTCATACAAGCAATAATTTTTACCTGAACCACTGTTGTGGCCTTTACCTGATTATGAAATATAATAGCAAATAAAGTAATAATGATTGTAATGAAATAAAAAAAAGTCATCATGTTCAGTATATTGCACTTGAAATTTCACTAAAATATCCTTACTTCTCCCAATCAGAAAGACTTTCTTAACTGGAAAACCCCAGAAAGAATGCTGGGGTACGGAAGAGATGATAAAATTCCGCTCTACAAATATTTCGTAACAACTCGACCCATTTTTTGTAAGAGCTTGTTAAATTCGACAATTCCCTTACTTTTGGCGGTCGCAAAGATTCTTCTTAAAACTAAATTTAACAAGCTAACTTGCTGACTATCTGTATGATGAAACTAAAAAACCAGTCAGGGACCACAATTGAGAGGGTAGCGGAAAAGTAAATTTCTCATTAATTAATAGACATGATTATTGATCGAAATTTTTTAAAGAATTTGCAAGTAAATCTCATTTAATTCATTGCCTCCGTAGTATCCATAATGTGCCACTGCACTTGGAAGTAGAGCCAGGAATTACCAAGACTGCAACTGGCAGTTTGTTTCCTGTCATGGCAAACAGGTTGAAGACCACCAATGGAATGAGTCAAACTTCTTAACACTGAGAGATAAATGCTGATAATCATCACTATCAATATTTGTCATGTTTTATCGACAATAATAACAACTTGAGAAACCCTCACTTTCAGAGTGAGGCCGAGAGCAGAACTTTCATCCTCACAAAAGAAGGGAAGACATAAAGATAAAAACTAATTTTCATATCAAAAGGTTCGCTCTATCCGACAGAAAGCAATTCCTTTAAGCATCTTCGTATGGTTCATTAATTTGCTATTTTTCATGAAATCATTAAAAAAAAGACAATATCCATGACGCGTGAAGCACATACCCCCTATATCAATATAATTTATATTTTCGTTTCAGCTCAGGTTAAATTGTAAATGAGAATGACTGGCTGGAATTCCATCCGAGTGAAAATATAAAGAAATTGGGAAGGAAAAAAAAAATAAAGCAACTGACAGATGAAATGGGAACAGCTGCCGGGGACCTTTGCTTTTGACTCACTTCAACTGATAATTGACATAATTGAAACATTTTTATTTTTATTAAGGATCACCTGTCTTCCATTAGTCTTTTGCCAAATGCAAGTTTGAACTATTACACACTCTGGCCCTTTTTTTTAGGCAGAATTCTGTTTGTTAACAACATTCTCCATTCTTCAAAGTGTTGCCATGAATTCTTACCCATTCCAATGGTACATCAAGACATTTTGATTTAAATATCGGTTCTGTCAGCCAGCCTGACAGGTAGAACCGCCCTTGCTCGAACTCCTCTTATATAATACTAAAGATTTACGTGTGCATGGAGTTTTGTTGCCTTGTACACTTAACTAGTTGTTTACTGAGAGAAAAAAGAAAGGATTCTTAGTGTTTGGTTTGCTGTGAGTGTTTCAACCAGACTTGATCATGCTTCCTGTAAGTTCGAGGCTGATTAGCATATTTAACTTAAACTACACTATAACTCGAACTATGACTTTTATTTTAGACAACATTCTCAACAAGTTAACACAACTAGGTCTAGTTCAGTTACCCAACTTGAACCAACTTTAATTCTATTCATGAGATTGTTGCTTTTTTTTAAATATGCCCTGGGGCATACAGGAAACGGACAGCACGTCCAAGGTTATTCGAAAAAAAACAAAACAAAAAAAAAACAAAACAAAGCAAGAAAACAGTAATAAATTTGAAGTCAGATCGAAGTCAAACAATGACAAGAATTTCGCATTCTAGGAAGTGCGTCGGTTGGAGAAGTAACTGTGTGATGGAATGATCCATGGTTTTTAAATGACCAACACTGATGAGCATTCCTTTCAAACGATTTGTAAAGAACAGTGATGATCGTATTGCCAAATCCTTTAGCTCAGACAAGGTCAAACGCCTTCGAATGTGCAAGCGTTGTAATGGCTAGATGGCGTGCTTTAAGGTGGCATGCTTTAAGTTGTCTTACAATAGTTATAAACAACATACAAACTAATAAGGTCATCGTGCTTTAAAATCGTCTAACCCCATTGATAAAGCTCTTAACAAAATGATAAATCAGCAGATTACCCGTAATTGAATAAGATTTATCGGACCTTAAGTGAGAAATTGGCGCGTGTCCGACCAAAAATTGATCTTGCACTCACCAGATCCTTATTGATAGGAACTCGCGCCTTCAAAACTATCCGATTAAAAGACAGGTGGCACAGAGGAAACATTTGAGACCCTTTGTACGAAACGCTTTGTATTATTTGCGGCGAAAAGAGCGGTGGTGGTAAGAGGCACAGTCTATGGATCTTTGGGATACCTATTTTGTCATCTTAACTCATTATAATTGCAGTTAGTTATGATCATATCCAGCATAATCGAATTTAATTGCAGAGAATGTCGAAGTTTTGTTATGTATGGCAGGCTGAAATGAAAGAAAGATTTGATTTCTCAGCGCTTTTTGGGATGATGGTAGAACATTTTGTGCTAGAGGGATATCAAAAGGAATGTGGAATTAGGGTAAAAAAAGTCAAAAGATCAATGTACTCTACTCATTAGTTGTTCATTAGTTGTTCAAAACTTTAATCATTTTCCTGTCACACATTGGTAAATGAAGCAAAGCAAATGACAATTACTGAAAGGTTGGCCGTTTCTATCATCCATAGTTATTTGTTTGTTTACGTGTGATGGAGTCTTTTTCGTTCCTGCAGTAACTATTCTCTACTCAAACGTACGCCAGCGCACGAGGAGAGACTGAAAACTGCAAAAAAGAACCACTGTCTTACATGTACTTTACTTATATTTGTTCAAAACTCTAATACGTTTTCTGTCACGCACTGGTTAACGAGGAAAAGCATAATGGCCATGATATTACAGAAGGCTGGCAGTTTCTGTCGTGCAAAGATGATTTTCTGTTTCCTTATGATAACATCTTTTTCATTCCTACGGTAATATTATATGATTCACGCCAGCGCACAAGGGAAAGTAAAGCTGTAAAAAATAACCTCTGCCTTTCAGAGTAAAATCTCTCGTGAATGGCCGGGTACACACATTCACATTTACTTTACTTATCATTTGTTTAAAACTCTGATAAATTTTCTGTCATAAAGTAGGTAACGAGGCAAAGCAAAATAGCAATAAAATTACTAAAGGCTGGCCGTTTCTGTCGTGCATAATAGATTTTTTGTTTTACTTATGATAACGTCTTTTTCATTCCTGCCGTAATTATTCTTCTCTCCTACACACGCCTGCGTACGTGGAGAGTTATTTGTTTGTTGACGCGGGATAGAGTCTTTTTCATTCCTTCACCTTCGATAATTATTCTTTACTCCAACGCACGCCAGCGCACGAGGAGAGAGTAAAACTGTTAAAAAAAAGTAGCTTTACAGAGTAAAGTCTCTCGTAAGAGGTTACAGACATTGACATGTACTCTACTTATTATTTGTTCAAAACTCTAATAGGTTTTCTGTCGGACACTGGGTAATAAGGCAAAGCATAAGGGGAGTAAAATTACTAAAGACTGGCTGTTTCTGTCGTGTATGCTTGTTTTACTCGTAAAAACATCTTTTTCATTCCTGCAGTAATTATCCTTCTCTCCGACGCCCGCCTGCACACGTGGAGAGAGAAAAACTATAGAAAAAGAGGCACTGCCATATAGAGTAAAGTCTCTAGTAATTTATATACGACATTGAGTTCCGACAGAGAAAAAAAAATATCAGCCAAGCATTTTAGTTTATAAGCATAAAATTGTCTTAACAAACGGTCAGAACGGTTTCTATCATCAGGTGAAAACCTATCCCATGTACCTGTCAACCACGCGGCCATTTAAAGGTTGAGTGGGCCTGGCGTTGCTGCATACAGGGAGTCCATTTTGATCGCGCAGACTCCTCATGACATCCATCTGAAAATAAATTGAAATATTAAAAAAAAAAAAACAAACTAACAGATAACAAGAAACAAGCGAAATGATTAAAACAACTAGGAAGGAGTAGAAAAAGGAGGAAGGTGGATCAGTGCAGTGTCAACTACATGACCTTTGACCTTTCAACCCCCAAGAATGACTAGCATCAACTTTTTTCTCACAGTATCAACCCAAACCTTACACAAAGGTCACGACGATAAAGAAAAAGTTTACCAAATAAAGAAACTCTTGATTGTTAAACAAATTCTCCTCGTCAGCACCTTAGGGAATGTATACAGGATGGCATGGAGAGTATGAATACTGATGTTCTTGTGTAAAGGAAGTGTCAGGTTGTATGTTCTCACCATGTAAGTACTAACAGGGATGAACTGACTTAGCACGATCCAGTTCACAGACTGATCACAGGGAGGCGTTGTCAGAGTTCCTTTGTACGAGTAAAATGATGTCATGGTCAGATCTTTCAGCTGTGGTACCAGAAGGTAGAGGTTTAAGTCCAGTGGGATCCCTTCGTTTCCATCTAACAAAAAATAGAATTAAGAGAAATCAAGAGAAAAAATGAGCAAGGATTAATTTTTCCCATATACTGTCTCAATAGTCCATTCTACAGTTGTGTGCTTGATATCCAAGCCTTTGAGCAAGAGTGAGGCGAAGGGTGACCTTGTTATGATACAAACTTGCTGCTTTTTAAATGTAAATTACTTTGTGATAATGCTAATTATTAAAAACTGGATCATTGAATAATGCAATTCAAGACTTTTTGTTGGCTTAGCCATTATGGTATATAAGCCAATATAACACAATCTACAAATATGGTTAGCGTACGCGTCAGCTTAAAATTAAAAGGGAGCTAAAAAATTTAATAACTTGATTGAATAATTGAATTTAACGTTTTTAATAAAACAATTATTCCACTCGCACTTGTTGGATTTGAGATGATTATAGCCAACGCGACGCTACGCGCCGCGTTGGCTATCTAACATCTCGTATCCAACAAGCGCGAGTGGAATAATTGTTAAATAGATACTGGTATCTATCACGACAAGGTCACCTTCAGCCTCACTCCTAATTAAAGGACATGGACACAGTTGTAAAATGGCCTACCCATAACATTTTTTTTTTTGCCTGGCCGGTGTAGATAGTTTTAGTTTTGGATCTGATTGGTCGAGAGAGAGGCGCGAGTTTTCTGGACCAATCGCAGAGCGGGCATACTTTGGTTTTGGTATTTGATTATAAAAGGCAAAATCTTACCTTTCTCGGCCACCTTCTCAATCGCACTTGCCAGCTTATTTAGTTCAAGGTTTAATATCCCCAAAATATATACCTAAATTTCAAAGCAAAATAATATAGAGTAAGTTGAAGGCAGGATTGATTCCGCAGAAATTAAAAATGGGCAATTAATCTGAGAAGAGACTTTTTTTGTGGTTACCGTCTTTTAAAAAGCCTGCCACCATTACAATGTCGAGTGTGTATGTAAGTGATTTTCGAAGGCCTTTATTTTCTAATTTACCTTGAGGGAGACCCCAATGACAGTCAGACCATTTGATTTCTCAGCGGCAGATTGAAAGTTAGCGTACTTTGTGTTATAAAACACCAAATAAAGCTAAAAAAATTGAAAATTGTTAAAGTCAGAGGTAAGTCTATTCTTCAGTATGCATCACTGGAAAATTGTATTTACCGATAAGACTAATTTTGACGCTTTGATAATGAAGAATAAATCGCAATGCAAGTCATCTCACCTCACCAGAGTATGATACACCTTTTAAAGTATGCTCTGAACCTCCCGGGCTAGAATTACAACCAAAGTGGAAATGAAGTTGTGCGAGTTTGTAATGGTTGCTTCCCCAGGGACCTCCAGAGAGTAAAGCGGAACCAGACTCAATTTTAATGGAAAATGAATGACCTTTCTTGACTAAGCGGCCGCTCAGAATTCCAAACAAGTTGTCAAAATCTATGCTGAACTCTCTCAGGTATGTAGATCTTTGAAAAGATTTTTCAATGGCGGTATCAGTGTTGATGGGTGACTGGGCACTCCCTCCACAGTCACGTGAGCCATTTATCCAGTCTTGAGAGCCAAAAACCGTCTGGTGTCCATTGTGAACTGCAATTTGATTACAGATGAACGAATCAGAGTGAGAAAGAGAAAAAAATGAATGATTTGACGAAGAAACCTCAGAATCAATCTATCGATTAATTGATCAAACAATAATTAAAAGGCAACTTTTGAGTATCATTAAGCCATATTTAGACTCCAATCTATTAGATTGTTCTACTGAATATGTTTCAAAGCTAGTGTGATTTTAAGCTTCTGTACTATACCTGTTTCTCCATATTTCCATCGTGTTCCTACATGTAAATAGATGAAGACATGATTTCTTAGAAGTACCTTTAACTAGTGTAAATGGAATATTAGAGAAGTATAAATAGATAAATAAATAAACAAGCGAAAGAATGAAAAAATTAGCGAACACATAGTTCTGAAATCTTTCCTTCACATATGAAGTGAAGTATTGTTGTGTGAAATCTCCAATTGGGCTGAGAAAATGGCTCTTATCGCGCGCCAAATAGCACTGATGCGTGAACATCGACATGACTATGGGCACGGCTATGGCGCCTAAGGTGAATTTTTATATTTAGTTATTAGAAAGATTCAATATACAATTGGTTGGAGACGATAATGGTCGCTGATGCTTATGTCTTGCTGTTTGTTTTGTGTTTATCCTTGAATTCTGGTAACGAGCACGTTGTCTATGATTTTGAGAAATAAACATATAATACGTTAAGTAAGTCTTTTACTTAACAAGAAATAAAATGCGCCTCATCCAACAACGGAAGAGTGCTGTGTGTTGAGTGTTGCGCGCGGCAATGGATAAACAATATTGTCCACGATTGTAGCATTGTTATTATTTAGTGCGATCTATGGTAATTACGTCCGACTATCCCATTGGTGTTGTTATCGATCAGTAGAATCAAAAACTACGTCTTAGCTTTTTATCGAAATTTATCTCTGCCTGTCTCGAGAGGTTCTTAGAGTTCTTCAATGAGTGAATGTTTACACTGGAGGTCGCATTGAATTAAATTTTCCCGATAGTCATGATTTTCTTAAAAAAAAAAAAAAATACGTTGATTGAAAAGATTAGTTAAATGAAATTTCAATCGAAGACTGCTATATGAGATACTTACCTTGACTAACAGCAGCGAAACAGGAAAGAAAAGATGTAAACATGATGAGGAGTGAATCGAGCAGCTTGCGTTGTTATCAACAGGCTAAGCCAGTTGCAAAAATTTAATCATGCTGGTTTCATGCTGGCAATTTATTGGTTTCAGTAAGTAGCTGATATTTGCTGGTAGACGAATGTCCAGTTTATTTTTGTTACAACCAGGTCTTAATTACTAAGCTGCCGCTCAGATGTTGCCGTTACCGCTGCTATTGACGTCATTAGTTTTTTTTCTGGCAAACTGTATGTACGCGTACGCCATAGCTCTTACGGACTATGACGTCATTTACTGAAAGCTCGCCCCAGAGCCTAGTTTGAAGTAAAGTTTCAACATATCTTTGTCACTTCATACTCTGGTGTCAGTGCAAATATTCTTTTGATTTCAGTGTTTTGGGAATACTTGCCGAGTAAAATGTATTAGCTTGCACCTTTGGAGGCGTTAGGGGGTGGAATGGGGTATGCTGACGTACATATAAACAAGTGTAAGGCCTAGTAATTACCGCCCCCGAACAACTGCAGTTTTTGAGGGTAAAAAATGCTAACTAGATCTCCATCCACTGATTATTCGGGAATGACACTTAGTTTACTAAGATAACGAAATAAAGACAACGATCTTGCCCACTGCGGTCTTGTTTACAGATTGTAAAATTTATACTTTTGCTATCGTTTTTCAACTCATAACTATGGATATTTTGTTACACTACAACTGCATCGCTGGTCTGTTTCTATGCGTACTTTATATTTCAATCCAAAACGCAATATATTAGTATTATGTTTTCAATCAAAATAGATAATATCTTGTGCAAATTTTCATATAGCCTACTTCTCTAAACACGGTTCTTTATTATTAGTCAATTAAGAACCTTTTAGTTGATTCAGACTAAGCGCTTTTTTTTAAATTTTTTTTTATTTTGACTTTTTTACTTCTCTCGATCATTTAGTATATCCATGAGTAGGTGCCATGTTTGAGGAAACAGTTCTTGTTCGATCCCCACTCTCTGCGTATCCAGTGGTAAACATTAGTGGGAGCATGAATATGGAATTAATTGTACAAGAGTACTTTACGACCTTAGCTGCACCCTCTAATCTATTTTTAATATAATTTTTCTCCACTAAAACTAAAGAAAAAAGCATGAAGAATTACTTTTTTTGTTTTATATACAAACACGTAGAGTTACATTAAAAACATAACAGGTCTGTTGCTAAGCGCACGATATTTGATTACGAGGAGACAAATACTCAGTCTTTTTCTGAACAAAAGTTTTACTTAGTTAGGTTTTTAACTACCAGTTGATTCAGGTGATGTTGTTCTTGTCCTTCGTCGTCGTTGTTGTTCGGTTATTGTTGTTCCCAAAATGGTCGTTGTCTTTTGTTTCCCAGAATTTTTTGAGTGCTCGATTAAGTGCCGCCACCGATTTCAATTACGTATATGTGAGTAAAAATACTAAAGCTGCATGTCTCTACCCACTCTTTATTCGTTGGGTTACGGTTTTTGGTAAAACACGAACATGAAAATTCTAGAACTCGAGTTCATTGCTATCTTGCTTCGTATTGGATGACTTCTTTTGTTTAGTCTGTTTTTCAAGGGTACTCGTACAGATGTCATCATATTACAAAAAGGACTGCTGCTCCGCCCCCAATATTTCATGTAAGGCACAATGACTTCGCTTAATAATAATCTATAATAACAATCTTTATTTAACGTGGAGAAACACTTAGCTGAAAGCTAGTTTACAGTTTTTCCACCAAACAACTGAAACAAATAATTCAAATTGAAAATAACATTATTAAGAATCACATCTGGCCGAAGGCAAACCAGTTGCGTATTTACAAGCATGGCCGAAGATTTGAACTCGGAGCTACCGTGAAACAAATTCAGGTGGTGGTCAAAGGCGTTATCTCATAAGAAAATAGCAGAAGAGTAAAGGAAACAGTTCGATTCCCACCACTAGGAACATTTCACACGTCAGTGAGTTAGCACGCAAGCCTCACAAATCTTAAATTGCTTGTTTTATTAGTGCACTAAGAGGCAAGAGGAGACGAGGGGGGGGGGGTGTTTCTCTTGGTGTAAGCCATTGATTTTGCTATATCAAAACATTATTCTTGGTCTCCTATATATTCCCCTATATTTCATTGCGAACACAATATTTCCTCTCAAAATCCTTTAAAGATAAAGAACTCCAGACTTAAGTTAGAATAAAACAGTGCTTTACTTCACATTCAACGTATCTTTTAATTTCCGCGACTTTAAAAGAGTATCGATTTAATTAACGCTCGGCCAGGGAACTTAGAATTAAGAGGGCTTGTACACCCCAACAGTAGTTTAAAATATGTAACTGTAAGTGTATTGATCCTCTATACCTGTTTGCAATTTTGAGGAGCGCTACTGCATTATAATGGCGCCTAGTCCAATACGACGCAAAGCCCAATACGATAAATATAGCTCCCACCCGTAATAATGATTGATGACGATATAACATGCAAGTGGATGTTTCAAAGAAGGGGAGCTTTTTCTTAGTAAAGCAAATTAGCTTCTTGAGAGGCCATGGTAGTGCTGTATCTTTTAGGATGCATTCACCGTGGGAACAGATCAGCCTGACTGCATGACTTCATGACTGTATGTTGAATATGAGTAATAAAGGTGTGAAATGTATTTAAGTTATGAGGAAATTGATTAAAATGTGTTGTAACTTGTGACCGTATAACCAGAATATTTATATACTTTACAGCGATGAAAATTTTACGCGAGATAGTGATTACGCGATCGGGGATGCTTTAGGATTGAAGAAGTATTTGAGATCAGATTATTGTCATGACATTCTTCACTCATAACTTCAGCTCCAGAGCGCAGAGTACTCCCTTTCTGCGAACACCGAAACCTCAGCTTAATGCGCCAGCAGTATACTATCTACGTCCACTTGGAAAGACCAGCGGTCCTACACTGCCTCCTTGGCATACGTAAATACCGGCCAACTTGACATCTTTACCAATCGCCGCAAAACATTAATTTTATAATTGTTTTTCCGGACTGGGCATTGCGAGTGTTTTTATATGAAAAAATTTATAGTAAGACTTATTTTCTTTTAGTTACCTGGATGTTTGTGAATTGTGAGGCTAATTGTGTAACCTTTTAGAGATGTTATGGTTTTGGAAAGGGAATAATCTGCTAAAATAAAACAGAGGGTAAGTTTCTAAAGAAACTGTGTTGCTGCGTCGGTGGGGGCTATTACAAGATTATTTGGTTTTATCAAATAAGTTGATACTGTAATTTGGCCACCGTAAAGAGTTTCCGCTAAAGCTGAAGTTTCTAACATTTTGAGCCGTTCGTCAGAGCGAATAGAGGATTGTTGGTCGTACATGGTTTATATAAGAAGAGATGAAGCTACATCATTGATGGGAACATGATAACATGAAAAACACAAAGAATATTTGTTCTTGAAAATGAAAATGAAAATATTTCACCTTTAAACCAAAAAAAAATCAAGAAAAAAAGAAAAGAAACTGATATAGTACGCGATTTGTTCTGTTGTGTTGCAACCAGTCTTGATTTGACCGAATATGCCCACGATAGAAACAGTGACACTTCACATAAAGCAAAGCGATTGCTATAAACTGGTGAGCAGCTATCCCACGTATCCGCGAATTACTCGGCCATTCAGCGCTTGAGGGGGCCTGAAACCGTTGCACAAGGGGTGTCCGTCGTGATTTCGCAGACTTCTCATGATGTCCATCTGAAAGTCAACAAACAGAAAATAAATGAGGAAACAGGTAGCTGATAAATGATGATAAAAAAATGAAGAAATGACTCAACAGAGAATTAATAAGGGTGGAAGAAGGAAAAAGGTGAATTAAAGCGGTATCGACTGTTTGTTTTAGCCATTTCACTCCCAAGAGTGACTCGTAGCTAATTTTTCCTTACAAAATGGTCCCTGTATCACACATCAGGGCTACTAGAAAAAAAGAAATGATCACGAGGTGAGGTGGCTCTTGATTAATACGCATATTCTCCTTGTGAGTATAATAGGGAACGAATGGAGAAGAATAATGAGAACTTGGACACTGATGATGAAGTGGGAAGGGTTAAATGTAAGTTTATCACGTGTTCTTACCACGTAGGTATTGGCCGGGATGAACTGACCGAGCACGATCCAGTTAACGGACTGATAACAGGGAGGGGTGGTCAAAGATCCCTTGTACGAGAAAAACGGTGTCATGGACAGATCAGTAAGCTGTGGCACCAGAGAGTACAGATTTGGCTCCAGTAAAGTCCTTTCGTTTTCCTCTAACGAAAAAAAAAAAAAAGGAAAACGATAGGATGTATGGCAGATGTATGGCAGATCTATGGCAGATGTATGGCAGATGAATGGCAGATGTATGGCTGTACGTCTGAGAGTATTTATTTATCTTTTAACGTGGCCAGTCTACATTATCACCGATTACAACCACAATCAAACAAAATAAAATCACTTGTCTTGAAACATAGCTGATAATGTCCCTTCAGACACCATATCTTACGAAGTAAAAAATATTACAGATTTGGATGAGGTTTTATTTTAGAACTGATTCGTCTACCTGCGGCTGTAAGACAATTTTTTCACGACTTAGGTTGAGTTCACGACGATTTCTCGTCCTTACGACTGATATTAACACGTTTAGACATACAGTATATCAATAAAACTGGATTTTTGTTGAAAAAACATTATCAAAGGTCCTTTATTTCATGATGCTCAAGAAAAACTAGATTGATCCAGCAATTGCAATTCTATAAAACGGCAACTATAATAACAACAACAACAATAACAACAACAACAACAATTGCAACAACAATAATAACAACAACAACAAATAAGAAGATTAGAAGCTATAATCACACCTCTGTCGCCTCTGGCCATGTTCCTCATCAAACAACAACAACAATAACAACAACAACAATAGCAACAACAACAATAACAACAACAACAATTGCAACAACAATAATAACAACAACAACAAATAAGAAGATTAGAAGTTATAATCACACCTCGGTCGCCTCTGGCCATGTTCCTCATCAAATGCGCTATTTTCTCAAGTTCAGGATTGGATACGTCTAAACGATTTTCCTATATTTGAAAGCAAAATAACAAAGGGCAAGTTGCAGCAGAATCTGCTTTCTTTAAATCAAAAAAGGGCAATTAGACGGGAATATTTTGTTCTCACCTCCAGAAAGGCGGCGATTACAGTCAAACCATCTGACTTGTCAGCTGCAGCGTTAAAGTCAGCGTACTTTAGGTTATAAAACACCAAATGAAGCTAAAATTATAATATATCATAATATTAATATGTGCAAAAATAAAGGATAAAATGTTGTATGATTCCTTTGCTGGAGTTGTGCCCTTTTGTTGTGGGAGTCAACGCCTGTTCAAAATCAAATTTGTTTCGTCGCCGTTTGTTTGCCTGAATTGCAGTCTGTGTAACTTTTAAGATGATTTTCCACGAGAAGGGTTCAATAATCTAATCATGGTGACTACCTAGAATCTTTCAGTTGAGAGGGCATTGGGACAAACATTTCCAAGAAAGTTTTTACGGTAAGGCCAAAGCTGATGATAGTGACCGTGATAAGTTAAGTGTACTTACTTCACCCGAGAATGGTATACCATCAAGAGTATGCTCTGAACCTTTTGGGCTGGACTTACAACCGAAGTGGAAATGAAGCTGTGCAAGCCTATAGAGGTCGCTTCCCCAGGGACCCCCGGAGAGTAGACCAAAACCGGCCTCAATTTTAATGGTAGGTGCATGACCATTGTTGAATAATCTGCCTCTCAGACCTCTCCACATGTTTCCAACTTTGAAACTGAAGCCTTTTAGAAATGTTAATTTTTGAAAACTGTTCCTGTGGACAGTATCGATGTTGACGGGAGACTGGGCTTTCTCTACACAGTGACGTGAGACTTGGACCCAGTCTTGTGGGCCATAAACTGTCTGGTGTCCACCGTGAACTAGAATTTTATTTAGATAAATGAATAAATAATGAACATATAAATATACAAATGAAGAAGTAGCTAAATGAACAAACTGATAAAAAAACCGTACATTCCAGCGATCAGTCATCGAATGAAAGACTACAAGTATGATCATCGTGAGTGCATATTCTCCTTAGACTCGAATCTATTGGATTGTGCTACAGTATCTTAACAGCCTGGGGGGAGCAGGGTTGGCGTAGCGGTTAGAGCGCTCGCCTTCCACCATATGTGTCCCGGGTTCGATTCCCGGACCCAGCGTCTTATATTAAGTGGATTGAGTTTGTTGGTTCTCTACTCTGCTCCGAGAGGTTTTTCTCCGGGTACTCCAGTTTTCCCCTCTCCTCAAAAACCATCATCATTTGGACTTATTTAATTTAGGGTTTATTTGAATTTACACACGACCCCACAGGCTGTTCAGCTTTAAACATTATCGTGTCTAAATAAAGGRYTTATTATTATTATTATTATTATTATRATTACAGCACCTGTGTTTCCATATTTCCATAGTACTTCTATAAAGAGGTAAAAGAAGACAAGGACTCTTAGTATCTATACCCTTACTAGTGAAAATAAATTGATTGATAGCGGATGATAAACAACCGATACTACATAATAAAAGATCGATAAATAAATGATAAATTAGATGCAATGAATATATTAAGTTCATATATTTTGAACTGCGGTATTAGATACGTGTGATGTGTGATCCTCGCAGTAGATAGCGCTATTTATGTAATAGCGAAAATCAGACCTGAAAAAAATAAGGCCTGTACGGGACTCGAACCACTGACCTCTGCGATACTAGTGCAGCGCTCTACCAATTGAGCTAACAAGCCAACTGGGAGCAGGCCGTTAAGTTGATTCGTAATAAACCCGTGAAAGTGATAAATGAGATGCAATGAATATATGAAGTTCATATATTTTGAACTGCGGTATTAGATACGTGTGATGTGCGATCCTCGCAGTAGATAGCGCTATTTATGCAATAGCGAAAATCAGACCTGAAAAAAATCAGGCCTGTACGGGACTCGAACCACTGACCTCTGCGATACTAGTGCAGCGCTCTACCAATTGAGCTAACAAGCCAACTGGGAGCAGGCCGTTAAGTTGATTCGTAATAAACCCGTGAAAGTGATAAATGAGATGCAATGAATATATGAAGTTCATATATTTTGAACTGCGGTATTAGATACGTGTGATGTGCGATCCTCGCAGTAGATAGCGCTATTTATGCAATAGCGAAAATCAGACCTGAAAAAAATCAGGCCTGTACGGGACTCGAACCACTGACCTCTGCGATACTAGTCTGACGATTTCTTTACTATATATCTTTCCTAGCTAAGAAAAATATATATCTTACTTTATTGGGATCTGTAGAAGTGGCTATGGATAATTCAACCCTACGAAAATAAAGGCTGATATATAGTTTCGAAAGAAACTGTTTGGGGCTGCGTCGGTGGGAGTAACGAAATACTTTGGATATATCATTGGATATATATATATTTGGATATACGAAAATAACCCTTCAAAACTGAGCACCACAGAATATTATGATATGTTCTGCGAGTGTTAACCCTTTTGTCGAGGGTAAACAATAATTCCATCTGCAAACTTGAGGTTTAAGATCAAATTCCACTTGTTCCACTTGATTGGAAGCCTTAGAAACTTGAACCTGTAGTAATTACGCGATGCATGAAACCTAAAGTCCTATAGAGTGGATTTAGCCGTGGCAACTGGGAAGGAAGGAAGGGACGCTTTCTTGGTTGTGGTAAACTTACAGGCAAACAAAACGGAGCAAAACATTTGAAAAATTAATGAATCCCTGAAGTTACTGGAGCATGGCTATCATTAGCGTGCTCGCATTGAAATGAAAGCAAATATTTTACTTCTTCAGTTATCTTGTAAACATCACATAAACTTATATGTGCACGATCCTTCGCAGTAAAGCACTATTTAAGCAATAGTGAAAATCAGACCTGAAAAAAAAAATTCAGGCCTGAATTTTTTTCAGGTCTGATTTTCACTATTGCTTAAATAGTGCTTTACTGCGAAGGATCGTGCACATATAAGTTTATGTGATGTTTACAAGATAACTGAAGGAGTAAAATATTTGCTTTCATTTCAATGCGAGCACGCTAATGATAGCCATGCTCCAGTAACTTCAGGGATTCATTAATTTTTCAAATGTTTTGCTCCGTTTTGTTTGCCTGTAAGTTTACCACAACCAAGAAAGCGTCCCTTCCTTCCTTCCCAGTTGCCACGGCTAAATCCACTCTATAGGACTTTAGGTTTCATGCATCGCGTAATTACTACAGGTTCAAGTTTCTAAGGCTTCCAATCAAGTGGAACAAGCGGAATTTGATCTTAAACCTCAAGTTTGCAGATGGAATTATTGTTTACCCTCGACAAAAGGGTTAACACTCGCAGAACATATCATAATATTCTGTGGTGCTCAGTTTTGAAGGGTTATTTTCGTATATCCAAATATATATATATCCAATGATATATCCAAAGTATTTCGTTACTCCCACCGACGCAGCCCCAAACAGTTTCTTTCGAAACTATATATCAGCCTTTATTTTCGTAGGGTTGAATTATCCATAGCCACTTCTACAGATCCCAATAAAGTAAGATATATATTTTTCTTAGCTAGGAAAGATATATAGTAAAGAAATCGTCAGATTAGGTTAAGCAAAATCCAATCAAAGGTCACGATATAAAATACCTACCATGGCCAGCAGCAAGGGAGCAGGGAAGAAAAAAGACAAAAACGACAATGATTGTACCGAGCATGCTGCCTTGATATCAGCAGCTAGGCCAGTTGCAAAGATTGAGCGATGCTATGTTATGCTGATAATTTATTGGTTTCAGTAATAAGCTGATATCTGCCCGCAAACAACTACCGAGCTTATCTTTTACTACGCACAGTTATTTATCGAATACCCACGCATCCGATGCTGAAGTTGTGGGCATTATAGTTTTTTCTTATGTTATTTATGCACATATTGCTTTTAGGCAAGATGGTCTCATTTAATGACAATTCACGCCAAAAGCTTCGTTTTGCACTAAAGTTTTCATGAATATTTTCTACTGATACGCGTATTCGTTTGATTTCAGTGTTTTAAGAATATACGCACCAAGTAAATTCACCAGTATGCGCCTTGGAAGCGAAGCTTAGGGTCGAGTCTGGATATGCTGATGAAAACAAGCGTTAGGTCTAGCAAGTGCATACCGCCCCAGAATAGCTGTCGTATTTAAGAGAAAAAAAAGATGATTGCTCGATCTCCATCCACAGCTTTATTTAAGGGTGACACTAGTAAAACTGATAAAAGAGGATGGAGGAGTACTCTTCGATCTAGTATACTGTGTAAATTCATATATTTAACGACGCTAAATCGATCTCGCTACTCAATTGCAATGCGCACGGTATTTCAATACAAAAGGCAACATATCTCTTACTTTAATTGCAATAGATAATACTGCTGATATTTGTATGTATCTAACTGTTACCAGGGGTTGCTCTTTTCATTTGTTTTGTCTATGGTTTGTTTTGCTATCCTTTGTTTTAGTTGTCAGGGGGAACGGAGGAGAATCATTCGTCGCTAATAGAGCATGACGGGGAGGGAAGGTGATTTTTTTTCGATCCCATTCTTCTCCTCTGCGATCCCATATCTCCTCCTTTACGAACCTGGCTACGCAGTTTACGATTTTCTGATTGGGTCGATTATGCATAATATAGGTGTGTAAAAAAACAGTAAACATGTTTTTTAAAGCTAAATTCCATTTGAAGAAGCTCGGTAGTCGTACAACTGTAAAATAAATTATTTTTTCTGCTATATTTCAAACTTCATGTTGACATAAAGCCATGCTCCAAAGATCAGACCCCTCCAAACAGAGGCGCGCGATGCACCAATGCTGACTGCCTTCTTTGCCTGACTGACGGGAAGGGATCATGCCGAAGTACGGGTATTACATATGAGTTGGTTTGCCACGCTTGTAAATCGAAATATGTAGGAGAAACGTCCAGAAGTGCGTATACTCGCGGTAGAGAACACTTCCGTGCTTTAGAACGGCGACAGGAGAGCTCTGTTCTGTGGAGACACTGTTGTGACAGGCATGATAGAAATGAAGTAGGCTTTGTAATGAATGTGACAGGGGTTTTTCGTGACGATGCAATGTTGAGGCAGATAGTGGCCCTGTGCTGATAAATAAGGTTGAAGAGGGCAAGTTAATAAATACCAAAAGCGAATGGAATTACGTAAACATCCCGAGGGCAGTTATGACAATGTGACAATGTAGCAGGTCTAGAGACCTGGTTCCGAGTGGCTATTTTTAGTTTATTACCACACGAAGTATGCGTTTTTTTCAAAATTTCTGAAATCTTTAGATTTTTGCTCGTGATCAACCACAGGGAGCCCATATAATCTGTTTGTGTAGCCGACTGTTGTTTTATAGTGAATGTACCAGATTTACTGTTTGCCTCACCTATAGTGATATATTGCTGACTCTGTATATGAATCATTGATAAATAAGCGTTGAATTACTTTACGTGTGGTGAATAGTCGTCCTTTTGCCTCAAAAATATTTTTGGAGCGATTTTGAATAAGTCTAAGTTCGTCGTTAATGTAATGCAGTAAAGAAAGACAAGGGTGGAAGCCTTGTCTTGAAAGGGTTCAAGCGCCCGAGCGATTTTTCCCCCGAAAATCGCATCGCTTCGCTTTCAAACTTCGCAGCATTAAGGTCAAAAGATGCACGATTCTCCTCGTACCTTCCAATCGAAAATCCATCAAAACGGACCGGAGCTAGCCCTCGAAGAAAATCAAAATCCCACAGTAATTGAGCGCCTGGAATGCGTAGCAAGATTCTCATGTGCAAGCCAGAAACCGTCACGTCTGATTGACCACTTCAAAATAACGTCGCCCAATAAAAAATTAAGTCGTCCAATCAAAACAGGGAAAAATCGCTCGGGCGCTTGAACCCTTTCAAAACAAGGCTTCCATCCTTGTCTTTCTTTTATGCAGTACATTAACGACGAACTCAGACTTATTCAAAATCGCTAAAAAAAAACATTTTTGAGGCAAAAGGACGACTATACACCACAGGTAAACTAATTCAACGTTTATCTATCAATGATTTATGTACATAGTCAGCAATATATCACTATAGGTGAGGCAAACAGTAAATTTGGTACATTCACTATAAAACAACAGTCGGCTACACACAGATTGTATGGGCTCCCTGTGGATCAACTGACGAGGTCGTCGACGAAACTAGTTTTGAAGTTTTCGCAGTAGTGTGTTGAAAGTAGAAGTTAGTTGGAGTTTTTCACTTACATTGTTAATATGGCGAAAATATCATGTTTCATATATTAAGGGAAATTTCCTTGATATATCTGTAATATTGGTATATGCACATAACCACCGTGGAAAGGGATAATTAACCACAGGTAGCCCAGACAAGCGACGAGTCTGGTTGTTTATTCGAAATATATAGTAATGTATGGGAGAATATTGAAGAGTCTTATTATCGTAAACTTATACCATGAAATGTCTGAGTTAAAGCTCAAAATAAATGTAAACCTACCTCACTTGCTGTGTATTGTCGTTTCTGTGGCTCTAAATGGCGAATTTGAGCGATTTGGTGGGTTTTGCGTCGGCTGTCGAAAAAGTGACTTTATTGTTTTGGAATGCCTGAAGATGAATTTAAAAAGTAATTAATTTTCAACTGTTCATAAATTGAAATTTCGATCGAATAAAATATGAGAAATATTGGCATATGTTAGACTGACGCTGCATTTTTTCCGTCTCTCAGTGTTCAATTAATGCATCTCTAGTACTTCCCGTCGCGAGACGGTTTCATTTCCCATGGATGGGTCACGCGAAAGTTACGCCTCTTGTTGATCAAGTGTTGCTTCCCATATCATGATGACGCACATTCCGGTCGGATCCTTTCGCTTACAGGCGTGTTGCAATTTTTTCTTTAATTTTTATCATAACTGGTTTTTATTTGATCTTGTGAAGGCTCTCCTCCCAATATTCACACGGTTTAAAAAGTCGACGAACAACGGACATCCCTAAACTTTTCATTTGTCATCTTTACCATTAAGATTACTATCATCATAGTGTATATTATTATTATTATTACTACTATAATGACAAGCATCTAAGAGAGTCTCAATGGGGTCAACCGTTTGCCGTAAAACGTCATAAAAAAAAAAAAATTAACCGTTAGCCGTGGAAATTGACAGATTTTAACCACTAGTCTTAAACAGAAAAGCCATTAAAAAATTTCTGGTGACAGCAATGGTCCCTTAGCCGTAACAGCCGTCACCCACATTAATTTAGACCCTCATACCATTATTTCCATTTTGCATAGCTCATATTTAGACTGCTAACGGACTTGTTTGTATGAAGCAGAACACAGTCGAAACTCGGTTTAACGGTCACCCTGTAGCGGTCGCGTTTCAAAGTCCCGAAATTTTTTCCCCGCTATGTGTTGTAATTTTTACCTCTGTTAGGCGGTACTTCTATTAAGCAACGGCCTGTTTGTATTGTCCTCCACTAATATTGAACGGTCTCCAAAAGAGGAAAAAATCAAATCAAACTAAGAATAATCTTTCAAGTAAAATTCAATTCATGTTTATCCCCCAAGATCAATGCTAGTAGTATTTTTGAGCGAGGTTTGGAACATTAAGTGGTCAATTATGCCATTAAAAGTCATTTTTCATCGTTTCTTATCATTACACTATTCTGTAGAACCTGTATTTAAGTGGTGAACCCGTAGCAGCGGTCGCCCCGCCATTCTCCGTGGGTGACTGCCTAAATTTGACTGGATTTTTAAAAATAATCTACTCTTTTGCCCCACTTGGAAAGAAGAAAATCGTTGCACAGTTACATGTCCAGAATATCCGCGACCCATTCCCCTTTTTTCCCTTTCATGTTTGCCAGACTCCTTCCTAATTTCATTAGAACTTCAGAAATATCGAAAATATCAGAGAATTGGTGCCAAACAATTCACCAAAACAAAACCAAACAAAAGTTGTTGGGGCACTCTGTAGATAATCAGGAATAATCATGGTTTCTGGGCAACGTCCAAACTTGAGGAAAAAAAAAAAAAACTAACTGCAGTAATCGTACACTGAAACCAGCCGAGTTAGGCTGATAATTTCACGCTTCCAACAAAATTTATTTTAAAGCGTTATAGCCTCGGAAGTAAGAAATAAAAAGCCTTAGTAGGCAACATTACCCCGACTTTTATAATCCCTAAATAAGGTAAGAAAAAAAATTGTTGGCCCGCCAGCATGTGGTCCCTTACCACATTAAGCTGTCTTTTTCGTTTTAACTTCAGGCAGGAAAAATTTAGGGCCACAACTCTGATATTTACTTTTTTCTCCCTGACAGAAGTATCGCTTGTATTCAGACAATTGACGTATAATTGACCTTATCTTTGCGTGCGTATCTTAGCAACCAGAAAAAACCAAAGGAAATGGAAGGTCGTTAATTTCTTATCACTGAAAAATCGTGACGTATCAAGGAGGACCTTCTAAGCTCTTCCGCCAAGGTTTGATTTTAGATAAAAGCAAAAATAATTAGGAGACCCCATGGCCAAGAGAACCATGTTCTCTTAGAGATTCATATATCTACTACCAATGTATTCATTTCTTCACTATTTTTTTTATAAATCGAAGTTTTCTATCAATTCATCTACTTTTTAATTTTTCTATTTATTTATCTACCGAAGTATCTTTATGTGAGGTACGAAATATGACATTTCTCATAACGGAAACAATTGCCAATTATCAACTCCTTGACCGTTTCTCACTTCAGGATCAGATAGCTTAAATTTCTAAACACTCACAAACGAAACAAATTTTTTCATAAGAATTTTAATTTAAAAAGGGAATTATCTAAACCCCTGACGTCATATTTAGACTTAAGAGCCAGAAATGTCTTGGCAACCTTGTAAACAAGAAAACATAACGTTTACAGTAAAGGCCGGCACAGCATATCTAGCCAAAATAATTGATTTTTTTACTTCCGAGACAATTCCGCTACATGATCCCACACACGAATTTTGCGGGCTACTTTAAAGTTCCTTTTATGAAAAAGATATGGGCAGGATATCAGGGCTTTCTGATTGGGAATTATGATGTTAAGCATGAACGCTTAGTGTCGAATGCATGTAACTTTGATACAACAAGAATAGTTTGAACCGACATCAGGAGTATGTGGTGGAAGAAAACCGTGTTTAGCCGCACGTGAAGTGTGGTGTATGACTTCGATTATTGGATTATGTAACGCAACTTCGTAAGCGGTGTATTAAGATTTGTTAATCATAACCTAACAAAACCAATATGCAATATACGTGGGAGATAATACTTCCTTTCTTGTCGCGTCAATATGAACACTGTTAAACTAAAAGTGGAAGTCGGTCAGACTAAAAGAAATCTTTGCCCTGCATTCTTAATGAAAAATTTTAACCTCTTATTTGTGCAACATGAAATATTGATCCTGAGAGCTTGTAAAGATTGTGCTGACGTTTCACTCGCAATTTAAATTTTGTATCGAATATCTGCTATCTAACAAATATGTTGGACTTCTGATTAAAATGTGACTCTACGCAGAAGAAAAAACAGATAAGAAAAATATCACACGATTTTTTTGTTGTGCAGCAGGCAATGTGTGTGAGTTATCATAAATGCTTGCGAAGAAAAGGTGACCCTGCTTATAGAGCATTTATTAAGAATGAAAGTTAATTAAAACAAGGTAAAAAATGACCATTTTTCTTTCGATGGTTGTTGTCTCCATCCAAGCCAACTTAGGAATTCCTGACTAGCATTGTTGCGAACGGAACTCTATGCATGCCGACTGTCCAAACTTGATTAGGCGAGCAGGAAGTGAGTAATAATTTAGTCTCAACCACGTTTGTGTAGGTTACGGTAAAGCATGACTTGCGTCACGTAACGGATGTACTTACGACAAAGGCTTTTACCGCCCCTCATTCATGTTCAACGGGCCGTGCAGGAAAGGAAAATCCTGTTTCTTGAGAGTCGGCCGACCATAGATTGACGCCGCTTCTGCCCACACATCGTATACCTATGAATGAAAATTAGAACAAAAATAGACTTTACGAATGATGTCCTTTCAAATGTGAGTCATTCAAGAACTGTAGCATATAAATAGGGGAGACCAAAAGCTCGCTGATCAAACACAGTCGGACGAGCTTTACGCCACATTGTTCGGTAGGAGATTTTTCTCAGCACAAGTGTTGGGCCAACCTCGCAACTTGTTTAATTTTTTAAGGTAAGTGATTGTATTATCATATTATTATTAAAAACTTTTTTACTCGCTCATTAATATAACCCTCTCTTCTCTTGAAGAATTTTAATGTAACAGTAATATGCAAAATGCCGAATGGACACGTGGAAGACATTAACGTTATCTTAAACAGTCTGCCAGTCGAGTGCCTTTTTGCCTTTTCTAGCCTACCTAAAAAGTGGGCGTTTGTCAAAAACTAGGAACTGTTTATTCAGTCTGAGTTGTACGAGATTCATTCTTTTATAGTCTCACACAGCAGTCGTAACAGCTTTATTACCCACGCCTTCCTTTAGCGACTACCATTGTGGGCCGATGGAAGCCGAACCAGCTGATTACTTCTAAGCATCAGTAATAATCACATCAAATTTCTTTTTGCACGGCCTTTCGTAAAACACAACTACACAATTTGTTTGCAGGAGTTATTACCTATTGATGCGAGTCTTATATGAGCCTCTAGATTCATTGAATATGTATAGTAAGATATTGAATCGGATAGGTGTCTAGTAGCGTTACTTTATACCTGTCTTCAAAAACATTTTTTTTTTCAGTATTCGTTCGCTATCATGCGTCTCATTTCATCCATGGTCCATGCAGTTTAAACCCTTTTTACAGTTTTACAATTCTCAGGCTCCAGCCAACTGACTAAATGTTATTTCAATACGCAGACTTCAAGAACCACTTAACTGAAAATAATGATTCACATCCTGGCATTTCTGCTGTTTATTGCCCTGACCTTTCAAAGCGCAGGTAAGCACAAATGACCTTTATGGATTCACCAATAAATCAATTAAAGTGCAGTGTAATGTCATCAATTAGTGCTTCATCAAATCGCACGCTCTAATTGGTTTAGGATTTTTTCTGTTATTGCAAAAATATCAAGTAATTTTAGCCTCTCTCTCGGGCGGAAAAATTATTTACCCGTTAGCGAGAGAAGATGAACTGTCACTATATCAATTGATTAGTTGACCTGTAAATTTCAGTCAAATTCATTAAATAGGAACGTTACCTATATCAATTTTACTCGCCTATTTATTGATGAAAAAATTAGATGTTACATCCTGCATTTGACTGACAAGATTACGTGGTTCTTTTGATTCGTAGTCGCAATAATATATGCCCCGATCGGTTGCTACAAGGATCCTTTGGAAGAGCCAAGACCTCTACCGGAGCTAATAGAAAACTTTAGGGATGGTCGGGTAAACTGGACAAATTTGAATCATACCATTGCTGCTTGTGCAGAAGCAGCGAGAGAGAAGGGATATCTTTACTTTGGACTTCAATTTTACGGCGAGTGTTGGAGTGGTCCTCAGGATAAATTGAACTACGCTAGAAATGGTTCTTCCAAGAATTGTGACAAGGGTGTTGGGAAAGATCGAGCAAATTTCGTGTATAAGCTGCCCGAAGAATGCGTCAATTACCATGTTCTGGACTCAGCAGATAGGTCAATGACAAATGAGAACAAACAAGGACTCAAGTGTGACCATTGGAACTTTGGGTTTGTGAGAGATGTCTGGTACAGATTGACTGGCGCGGCAGGACAAACCATGCCGGATAAGTGTGTTTCGGCAGGGAAATGCCAGACCATAATGAGTGGATGGATGGATGGAAAACATCCCCAGGTTTGTTGTAACTTTAAGCCTAAGAGCGTGTAGCTTTGATGTTTAAAAGAGTAGACCTATAATTATGCTTGGTGTTCACAATTCTGGGTCGATATGAATGTTTTACAAGTTTATCCCGTATAGAAAAAGCTGTCACTTTCCTGACATTGCTATCTAACTATTTCAATGGAACCTCTCATTAGAAATGAGTTCGCGAGTTATTACCAAGATCAAGACATTTTTTGATTGGCATTCAGTTCCCCTCATCTCTCCTTCCCGAGGAGGATTTTAAGTTCTTATACGTCTAAAGTATTGCAGTGCTGATTTTTGTTTTTTAATTTAGGTTGATGATGGAATTCAAAAAAGAAAAGCATGTTTTAGCGCGGAGAATAATTGTTGCAAACGCAAGACTGATATTCACGTCAGAAACTGTGGTGAATTTTATGTATACAAGCTTCCAAGCACACCTGGCTGTTACCTTCGATACTGAGGGAGCGGTACGTATTTTGATATTATCTACATATTTGACTTTATTTTTCCAGCTATAGGAGATGAAAATCAGATCATTTTCCGTTTTGTAAATTTTGATGTTCTCTCATTCATTCATAAATTCGTCCGTTCGTTTGATAATTTATTTCTTTATTTCGTTTATTTATTATTTATTTACCTGTCTTATTATTTATTCATTTACACGTCTGTTATTCCTTGCAGGTGTCAGCCAGAACATGAATGCGTGATTGACTGTGGTGGCACTGGATGATCGCGTCTCTCAAAATTTCTGGAAAAGCTTTGGAAAACTAAGTAGCTTTTATACTGCATTATTTGAAATTGACAAAGAAACACGTCAACAAAAGGACTGTAACACCAGAAAAAAATTGGAAACAGATAAAAAAGAACAGTCACTTCGTCAGTTGTATTTAAGTTCACACACTGAGCAACCAGGTAGACAATCAGACATGGTTTGATGCTACTCTGTTTTAAAGATTTAATGAATATAACCGAAATTACAATTCATCGACCCAACGTCTCAACACTCATGTCTAGTGCCTTCATCAGGGCCTCTTGTTGCAACGATCAGGTCACCCCTGATGAAGGCACTAGGCAGGAGCGTCGAAACGTTGGGTCTATGAATGGTAATTTCGGTTACATTCATTAAATCTTTAAACCAGAGTAGCATCAAACCATGTCTCACTACGCTAGTATTTCTTTGGAGAATATAATCCTGAGTTTTTTTATTAAGTAGTAAGTAGTCGTAGAAGACTTAAAAGCTAACTATTTATAAATATTTATTGTTAAATGATTTATCGTATGAATCAAGACTATCAATCAGTGGTGGATCCAGGGGGAGGGTCCGGGGGGGTTCGGACCCCCCTATCAGACCTGGCGCTTACAACTTTCAGACTGAAATTCTTACATCGACAGGATCGTATATCAATTTTTAACTGGCTGA